TTTTTTTTCTTTTAAGATTTTATTTATTTATTTATTTGACAGAGAGAGACACAGCGAGAGAGGGAACACAAGCAGGGGGAGTGGGAGAGGGAGAAGCAGGCTTCCCACCGAGCAGGGAGCCGATGCGGGGCTCGATCTCAGGACCCTGGAATCATGACCCGAGCCGAAGGCAGACGCCCAATGACTGAGCCACCCAGGGGCCCCAGTGCAGCATTATTTCTAAGAAGGAAAACCAGAAATAGCCTATTGTGGAAGAAGATGTGGAAGGCTATGGGACTGTTAACAAGGATGAGGTGGATTTATATATACTAATCTTTTAAGTAAAAAGCAAATCACTGAACAATATGTATGGTATGATGTCATATATACTGAATAAAAACAAAGCAAAAATATTTGTAAATGCATAGAAAATACCTCAAAGCATACATACCATATCCCTAATGATGTTTATTTCTGGGCAGGAAAAATAACAGGGGGATACACAGAGGGGAATTTTACTTTTTACTGTAGGTAATCTTTCTCTATTGTTTGAATTGTTAGCCATGATCATGTATTAATTTCTAAATTAAAAATAATTTTAAAAAATAGTGGTGCCTGGCTGACTCTTTCGGTGGAGCATGTGAGTGTTGATCTTGGGGTTGTGAGTTTGAGCCCCACGTTGGGTGTAGACATTACTTAAAAATAGAATCTTAAAAAAATATTTTTTTAAATAGAAATAAGTAGTAAGTGCTAAAAAGGAATTTGAGTTTCTGTTTCTCTTATTTCCGATGAATGTTATTGTTTTGTAAGACAATGTGAACTAGTAGAAAGAACACGTAAGTTCTAATGTTGACTCAACTACTGTGGTGTGTACCTATGTGTATATGTATGTGTGTTTGAAGAGGGGGAATCGAGAATGAGATTGCAAAATACTAACTATCTGACAGGGTTACTATGAGAGTCCAGTGAAATATTGTACAAAGAAGTCTCAGCCTGCTAGACAATTGGCAGGCACACAGTGCAGTGTACTTACATTTCTTTATCCATATCCCACTCCAAGGTTTGAAATCTGTTTGATTCCAGTAAATGAAGGTAATGAAAAAAAATTAGATGCGTCAGACCTGTGTTCTGAATTTGATCTTGAAAATACAGTGATCAAACATCTGCTCCTATCACTTCTTTTTATACTTGTTAATAACAAGCTGATATTGAACACTCCATTTTGGCTAATTCTGGGCAAAAATGATGGGCTAAATATTTACATCTGATTCACGATAGTCAGACAGAGATGACTTCCTAGGGGGTTATGATTTAAAGATCAGATGAAAAGAGACAAAGGGACAGCAAACTGAGACTATTTGAACTTTACAGTCCACACAGTGCTTTATGGGTCACACTGCTCCTTCATAGCCATTTGATCCTTCATGGATGAGACAGGCATTAATGATGTCAGCCTCATTAAATGGGTGAGATGGGTGAGAAGGAAACTGAGGCCCAAAGAGGTGAAGTGACTTGCCCAAGGGCACACTCTGAACAAAGCCAGGTCTTACTCCCAGTTTTTACTCCTAGTATTCTGCCATTAAAAAAAAAAAAAAAAAATCGGTGGCCTGGTCCAAGAGCTGAAAATGTGGAGGGAAAAGGTTTTTTTTTTTTTTTAAAGATTTTATTTATTTGACATTGAGAGAGACAG